CAGAGGCTTTCAATACCTTTGCATTTTAACCCAAGATTCCAAGGACTTTATGTATTGCATCCTTTAGCAGACAACAGATTTTCTATGTTGAATAAAACATCTTGTCACTTCCAATATACAATTTCAGTTATGAAATTAACACAGAAAACACATAAACAACATTCTGGTTCTAATACGTTATTGTTTTATTAAAAGTTTGTCATATATACTATAAGTAAATACAAAAGTTTATAATGGTACGTGAATTTTACTTTGCCAGTTCCATTTTGGCCACGATTCAGCAAGGTACTTTGGCATACGCCTACCTTTAAACATTTGTAATCCCACTGATTTATGGAATTACTCATGTGCTTAAAATGTAAGCACATACTTGCATAGCTTGCTGAACTGGGGTCTTTGCTAGGGGCCATACAATTAAAACCCTCTCACCATTTACAATCTACTACCTTCACAGGCAGATGTGTGCATAAAATAATTCCGTTAGCAGGCTCATAGGAAGAATGGAAAACATCTACATCAAAGCAGATTTAACTGGGAAACTGTTGTAAGAAAATAAATACAGTCAACAAAGTTAGGTCTCGTTCTATTCCATTATCAAAAATCTATATTCAGTTTTGTAAATATAAAACACTGAGATATACCATGAATTCAGCTAATAAGAAGGTTTACGACAGATCTTTCATTTTAAGCGTGAAAAGATTTCTGTACTCAAAAGGCTCAAAATTCCCCTTTCTTCTCAGGATGAGAAATGCCCCTTGACGCCCCATCTCCTCCAGGACATGGACACAGTGGAAATAATTTTCACAACTAATTTGTATATGAAGTAACATGGTTAACATTATCCAATGAATTTAGATCCACCTACACAGTATAAATATATCTAGATAAACTGTCACCTTCAGCAGAATTCATTAAAATAATGTTATATCTTCTTTGTTAAACGTAATTTTTTTAATTGAAATTTAATCTTACCATATTATTTGGTAGATTTTTAATTGACATTTGTAGTAATTAATTGGTAAGCATTACAGCTTTGTCTGAAGAATTTAAAACTAAATTTGACATAGAGATTGGCTAGCCACTGCTGTGAGGTGCCTGCTGGGAGCACTTCATCATGCGCCGAGCCCCTCCTGCTGATCATAGGTGGGGGACGATGGTCTCTTTCTTACAGTCATGAATTACATTACTAATATTTCATTACCACCACGCAAATGTCATGTTAATTTCTGATCATCATCAAGTCAGACAATGGTTTCCACACTGGCAATGAGCCAATTAGCTCTGTGGAAAAATATTCAGGCAATTATATAACTTAAATTAGGTTAAGGACTCAGGAGAAAGCAAAATAAACGCTTTGAAAATACTTCGGAGATAAAATGTAAGTTGACACTGTCTTGGTGTGCTATAGTCGATGTTATACAATCTGATAGGCAGCTGCCAACATTCATAACTGTTTATTAAATCTAGCTTCTCTTTATGGTGGCATCTAAGATCTGTATTTTTACCAATATTAGGTTCATTGTGTTATGAAAAAGACCAAAATACTTAGGATCATCCACACCAGCTTATAAAACATATTATGGAGTATATTAAATTGTTAAAATTACTTTTTCCCCCCCAAGTAGAAAAGTTTCATGGCTAGAAAGTTTGTTTTGCTCAAAGTGTTTAAGCCACTGATGTTTCACAGTAGTAAGGGAGACAGATAGCACTTTTGTCCTAGCAGTATGTGCTGTTAAGACCTAGCCCAATAGCTGACTGGTTGTCCCCCATACTCTGATGCAAAAGAACCAAGTTGAACTTCTGGTCTTGGGGCTGAATCCCAAGCTCAGTTCCATGGGTATATGCTAGTACAACTCCACTGACTTCAGTAAATGTACTCCTGATATATACACTAGTGTGAATATGACCAGAAACAGAACTATGATTCCTTGCTTCCCTGCCATCATTGTAAACAACATAAACCCCTACAGATAACTAAGAACCAAGTGATGTCCCATCTAGACTTCCTCTTTTGGAATAATGGCAGCTGTAATGTAGATTACAGCACTCCTTCCTACATGGGGGGGGCGGGAGAGGTCTGCTCGGAATGCTCATAAAACACACTAACTCTCTAAAGGACGCTAAGGAGCTGAAAAGAAAAGTAGCAGTTTTATAACTCTCCAATTAGCTTGGGGTTCAGACCACTGAACTGCATGGGTGAAGCTGTGCGAAATCTTGCTGAAAATCCAGACTTTAAGCACCAAACCATTATTTTGATTTGTTCTGTTCTTAAGTCAATTTATTGGGCAAGCATGGTTATCTCCAATTTAAAAAAACGTATACAGCACCAATTTCTTGACTTTAAAAATTGGTAATGATGAGCAATTTGTTTAAACCTTTATCTTACGCGTTGCAATGAAGCAATGCACTGTTCTGGCTGCTTGCCCCAGATGACCTTTGCCTGCCATAAAATAGTACACAAGTAGATGCTAGGCTTTAAAAAAAAAAGAACTCTTCTCTTCCAAAGGCTCTAAGTATTCAGTCAACACAATTAGCAGGAATCACATTTTGTTACTCAATAAGCTGGAAAGTTCTAAAATCTACAGGGTGTGAATGAATTTCTGACATCATCACAAAGGCTTAACGGGGGGGGGGAAAGCAGCAATATTTAAAGGTGGATCTTACTGCAACAGGGGAAAGGACTGCTCCTCACAGCTGTCCTCTAGCGGCTGATGAACAGGAAGATGGAAAAAGCAAGTCACCCTTACACCAGCCAGGCAACTTTCCATCCTTAGAGAGAATTCTGGGAAAGGTGTTAATAATACATTGATGTAATGATGCAACTAGAAGCTAGAAAAAAGATAAGGGTTAAAATAAGTGTGTCAGCACCATTTCTGGCAAACTGTTCCTTGCCGATGGTTGCTCAGAAATGCCTGGCTCATTTTATGTTGTTATTTTGCATATTTTTTTTTTAAGTGTTTAGGGAGCGGATTCTGTTCAGAGATCTTAAGGCTATTGTGTGACCCGAAATTTTAAAGGAGGACTAAAAGCAGCCAGATTTACAAGATATATGGACATGCCTCTCTCTGTTCAGTCCAGTGTTTGGAGAGAATTAATCATTCTGAATTTTTTAATACTGAAGTTACTGAGAGAACTGATCTCTAGAACATTTCTTCTCTACTTGGGATACTAGTTAACCACATGTTTTCACTTTCATAATTCAACCTATACTCTCAAGGATACATTTTAAAGTCTCTCCGTTCTTCTGAGTGTTATTTCTAAGAACAGACACAGAGTCCCATTACAGGTAATGCCACAGGGTTATCATAATAGCATATGCTGTTGCACTTAGCCTATGCCATGCTCAGAGAGGCCTAGATCTTTATTAAAGTCTTTCACAGCAGGACTCAGACTCCACAAATTCTGTATTTATGGTTATTATAGGAGATTTAAGTAAATACAGAAGGAGAGCTTTACTAAGGGAAAAAATATCTTCCATATACCTATACAAGTTTTCTATGCCTGCTTTATTGAAAACTAAATTAATTAGCTAGCACCATCACTAAAGTCAAAAGACCAGTTTGCTATGGAGCACTGAGAATTTTCTTGCCCAGCTAGACATCACTGGAGAAATCTGGAATTGCTCCCCATTTTAGGATCTCAGTCACGTTAGCAAGGTTGGTAATTCATATATGAAGGAACTGGTAGAAATCTCTCTCACACTCTCTTTCTCTCACACACACATACTTTGAGATGCCATATGGGTTTATTCAACGGTTTACTACACCAGTCGTTAAAAATTGAGCAGTTATTATAATCTTTGCTAAATGACATGGTAATTATGCTACCTCTGGAAAAAAAAAAAAAAAACAAAAAAAAATTAAAAAAAAAAAAAAAAATCACAATTCACTGATGTGTGAATTTCTGTGTTTTTATAATCTTTGAATTGAAATGGGTTTCCTAATACACAGAGGGATATTATTAAACATGTGCCAGAAACCCAAATTTATTTTCAAGAAACAATTTATATCCCCATCTTCAATGCACTTTAATTACTCATATTTCCTGCTTTTAAAAGCCTCATTCATATCCTTTAATTTTCTTGCAAATAAAATGATTCCTGTTTTCCTGACTTTTTGTCCCCCTCCTGCCCAGTTCATAAGTAAAAGGCGGGACATGGGACAGGAGTAAAGAGAAAAGGGATGTGCCATGTGAGTGATCTCAGTTTGTTAGTGACTTTGCTCTGCAGGCTGGTGGAGCTGCGGGGAGGAATTCAAAGTACTAGCTCCAATACTCCTTCTGCACCAACTGCACGCCAATTAACAGAGTGGAACTGACAGCCCAGTCCCAAAAGGGGCCTAACCGGCTTACTCCACATCTACAGGTAAGGGGTCACAATGGGGACTGCATATGGACAACAACAGGGGCAAATGGCAACCTTTCATTAATAGAGAAACAGGCACACCCCCACCCACCAGTTGACTTGGCTGGATCATGCACATCAGTAGAGAAACCAAGCTTGGTATCTAGGGCTTCCACCTTGAACAATGGGAAACTTTGCGCTACGGGATGCCAAGCTAACAAGGCAGGCATATGTGATAAGACAGCTCTCTTGTGTACCAGTGACACCATTTTGTCACTGGGATAGAAGCGAGGCAAAACAGTGATAGCTAATTGTTTTCTGGTTATGGCTCCTTTGGAAGCAAAGCAATAACGCTGCCATGGAAAAAGGCCTCTACATATCCATATTTAATTGTGACGTGCAGTGCCTGCAAAGCCATGCTTAGACCATGCCTGTTTATACCATAAAATGCCAACCCCACCACCAAACATCTATAATATCTTGCATTTTCATGTAAGCTTTGGAGTTTTTTTCTATTATTAAATCAGATTCTTATATAATATTATACAGCAGAAAACTAGTGACATACTTTTAAGCACAAATACTAAAAAAAACAAAAGCATACCAAGTAACAAGCGGGGGGAAAAAAACAACTACAGACTTGGGTTAGTTGACTCACCAGTTTTACTTGTGGGCATTACACATATTCACTCATGGCTCAGGGCAAATCTGGCAAGGGATCAAAACCCCTACCATGGGAAACATGTTCGGAAGCTGGAATCACTCAGAAAGTGGTTCTCAGGAGATTGACTGAAAGACAAAAACATGTTTTAAAACTTCACTTAGCTAGAACTAAGCCCAAGCCCACCACTTCCCTGAACTTGAAAACAAAGAGGAAAGTATAAATGCTGGAGGTGGGGAAAACCCCCTATTGAAATATTCTTGCAATAAATCAAATGTTATTTTGTCATATAAAGATTTTTTTTTGCTATAAATAAAATTGAAACTTAAGGCAGGAAGGCAGCGTTTTTAAAAGGTGCTATTATTTCAAGTATCTAATTTGCTCTGCTGATTTATAAGTTTATGTTCATTTTCAATACCAAAATTAGTCAACACCCTAGCAGATACTCTGTTAGAAAACAGAGTGCTGTTTCAGGACTTTAAGAGATTTTAACCTACTTCTGCACTATCAAAATGAAACAGGGTCATTAAGTTTGTCAGATGTTTATCCTCCCTTTGCTCACTTCATCCTGACAAAACCTTAACAAAACAAAATCTCTCTTTAGCAATTATCTTTCTTCTAAGGAAAAACACGTAAAAAAACTGTTTGATACTGGGGGTGGGGGGAAGGAGGGAAGAGGAGAGGTAAAACTTGCACACGGGATACTTCAGCAGTTAAGAAAATACAAATTTGTTTTCCCCCCTGCTAATAGTAACATATTTGAGTTTAAGCTTAGCTCTAAGGTTGCTGTTTAGTTAGTGTGTAGAGTAGAGTTACTTTGAAACCACTTTAGATCTTCTTCATTAACAAAGCGTCTCATCCAGACTGGGTAAAACCCTACTGTCCTGGAGCCTGGTCCAAAGAGAAGCATTATCTGGGTCTCATGCATGTAATTAATTGCTGTCCTGAATTAATCACATGCTTAAATCCCCATCATCCAGGCTGGGTAAAACCCTACTGTCCTGGAGCCGGGTCCAAAGAGAAGCATTATCTGGGTCTCATGAATGTAATTAATTGCTGTCCTGAATTAATCACATGCTTAAATCCCATTGGCTTCAATGGAACTTAAGCACCCGCCTATATGCTATGTGGAAATAAGGTGTAAATTGTTAACAGTAAGGGTAGTTAATCTTTGGAACAAATTTACCATAGGTTGTGGCGGATTCTCCATCACTGGCAATTTTTAAATCAAGGCTGGACTTCTTCTAAAAAAGATCTGCTCTAGGAATTATTTTGGGGACATTCTATTGCCTGTGTTATACAGGTCAGATCAGATGACCACAATGATCCCTTCTGGCCTTGGAATGCATGAATCATTATTATTATTTTTCCTGAATCAGGGCCTGGGCAAGTGAGAGTGACAGCTTTACGGGTCCAACCGGTAAGACTAGGTGAGTGACATCAGGCACAGCAGAACTGATCTGCCAGCCAGAGGAAGGGGGTCTGAGGGACTGAATGGACTAGGGGGAGAGAATTCTGCCTTATGTAATGCATGTAGTGCCTCACAGAGACATGCTCACCTGACATGGCTATCGTCATCCATTTCCACCTTTGACCCCTGCACTAGAGCTGCATTCCCTGGGCAGTATTGGATGTTGCTTGGGCAGCAGCATGACCCCAGCTTTCAAATATTCATGTGTTTAATTATTTTGGCAGGCTACCAAATTTTTCTTCTCTCAAACTTGAAGAAGAGCTCTGTGTAAGCTCGAAAGCTTGTCTCTTTCGCCAACAGAAGTTGGTCCAATAAAAAAAAAAAAACATTACCTCAAACTCTTTGTCTCTCAAATATCTTGGGACCAACAAGGCTACAACTACAACTCTAAACCAAGTTTTCCCGAGGCACATCTGAGAGTTTTTATATCAGCAATACCTGAATGGAATATCATGGGACAAAGAAAAGGTACTTCCCTAACCAAAGGGATTTCTCCTTTCCCTGCTGCAAAAAGTATTAGAGCTTCCATTTCTCATATAAAATGCATGGAAGCAGAAAGGCTTACATTGTCCAGAAAGGCTCCTATTACTAGATTGCGCTGGATAACACGAGTAAACCCAAAAGTTTGTTCGCAAGCACTTACACTAAACAGAAACTCAGAAATACTCTGCATTACCTGCAGGCCAAAAGTGACCTTAATCTTAGATCAAGCTATATTTTTTTAATATACATTTTCAAGGTTTCTTAAGGAAGTATTTCAGAAACGCATAGGAAAGCTAGGTTTATTACTGAGCCTGTTTGATACACTCACAGGTCTGTAGTTGAGCTAGCGCTTACATGCACTGTGTTTGTGCAGGATCTCTCAGGCTCCTGTTACTGTAATAGTTGAGCACCTCACAACCTCCAGTGTATTTTATCCCCCCCAACACCTCTGAAGCAGGAAAGTGCTATTATCCCCATTATACAGACAGGGAACCAAGGCACAGAGAGTTAGCTAAGTAACCTGCCTAATGTCACAAGAAGCCTGGAGTGGATCAGGGACTTGAACTCATATCTCCCAAGTTCTAGGCTAGTGCCCTAACCATCAGATCATCGCTCTACTGCAGAGCCCACGTCTAGAGACAGAATCCAAGGTGTCTCATATTTGCCACCTAAGACCTGAAATCTGGGACAGTGGCTGGTTTCATAAGGCTATTTTTATTTTCCTTTAGGAGCCTGGGGATCTATATAGAAGAGAACACAACAGAACCAGTGAAAATGGACTGGTCAAATGGTGCACAGGCCATGATCCTCAGGTTATCGTGTACTGCATTGGCCACAACCTTGAACCTACCAAAAATTAACTTCAGAGGCTTAGAATTTATTTTTAAACACATTTTGAAAATGTGACAATTTAAGTACCAAGAGACATTAAGCTCTTGCTGGGGCTTTGGAAGAAAATGCAAGTCATTTCAGAAGGTCTCCCATACATACATTAAGCTGGGAGTCAGACCAGAACCCTGGAGGTAATCATGCTCATTCATTGTTTTCACTGTGGTAACTCCAAGAGGCCTCAACCAGGTTGGGACCATTCAGCACTAGGTATTGCACAAACATATGAAGCAGACTTTTGCAAACCTCACCCGTAGTCAACAACAGTCTCTGCTCAAAGAGCTTGCTTTCTGAAAAAAGGCATGACAGGTTGGGAGAGGACGTAACAGTAATCCTTGCCCTCACTGAAGTCAATGGGCGGTGACTTCACTGAGGCTAGGATTTCACACAGAATGTTTTGGAATGTGTGCACCATTCATAGATGTTATAAGCCAATCATCAGCAGCAGTCACAGTAAATCGTAACGAGCTACCTGCCCAGCTGCTAGCAGAAGTCACTATTCTGTGCGCATCACAGCAGAGTGGAGCTTTAAGGAAGGATATGAACGAGGAAAAGGCTGATAGCAGGGAGATCCCCTCCTCACCCCTATGCTTGTGGAGCCGCCTGGAATGGTGTTTGTGGGAGAAACAGACAACTGGGCAACCATGGCTAGCACAGTAGGGTGATCAAAATATCACCACCAGTATATGCCTGCCTCCTGTTTGGAATATGTGGCAAAGCCACCAGATCACCTGCTTTTCAGAATATTGCTCCTGAGGAAAAGACTCTTCTCATTATGTTCCAGTGGCAGCTGCTGGTGCACACGCGATCCTATCTCCCCCACCCCAGCTGGATTTTCACTAAAATCAGCTTTTGCTCAAAAAAGCCTGAAACTATATTTGACGTTAAGTTTCTATATCCCGATTAAAGGTGGGACTTTTATGCTCCATTACCAGTTAAAGTGTATCAACCACAATGAAACCGCATTAGACTATTTTATCCAATGATTTTTCTCTCAGCCACACTATGCACACACACACACACACACACACACACACACAATTTTGTATCAATTTTCAATGTATCCCTCTAAATAAATAAAATTGTGTATGTGTGTACACAATTTTTTTAAAATCAGTTTTAAATTACAATAAGTCATCTTTCCACCAATTAAGCTGTGAATACATCCCATTCTCAGCCTTAAGCGAGAAGTACAATAAATTAAAACATTAAAGTATTTCAAAGAAGATACTGGAAGTGTTGAAACATTAATTGTGCCATATACAATCTGTTGTCACTGGAATTTAAAAAACCGTCATTACCACCCTGGGTACCATTGGAAAAAAGATTAAAACCATCACCCTTTCCTATTTACATATTAAAATATAGGCATTCCTGATAGTTAATACCCAGCTTGCTGACTTGTGAATCTGTTTAAAACAATACAGTGTCTGTAAAATGCATAGTCCAAAACTGGGATCTGTCCTTACAAATAATTACTGCATTCAAACAGGTTACAAGCAGAGATAATATCTACACCATTTTCTTGTTTATCTTCCCCCTTCAGCAATCCCCACTTTGCACAAGTGTCTAGAGGGAACATGGATGGAGCAGCTGCAAGTTCCCCAAGGCCAAAACCTAACAATCAGGCTGTTTACCAAACATCACCACCCAGCAGCAAAATAAAGAGAATATTATTTGCATTTTTAAAAGTGCTTGTTTCTCAACAACTTATTTGGCAGAAACAAGTTAATAAATGTGTAAATTAAAATAGAACCCCACTAATTCAGCACTGATACCTGTTAATACCTGACACTGGTATGATATCCCGACCAGTGGGGGGCCTGTGTCACCCCTGCCCTGTAACCTGGGGTGTCTTGAAACGCTTTGCTGTTATAGCCTCCAACCTGGACTGTTCACAACCAGTCACCAGCATGGAGTTTGTGTAACTGCAGCCTGCCAGCCACACCTTAGCTCCCACCACCCTTGGTTATACTGCAGGGTGACCTCAATACTGCAGGGTGACCCCTGGGACTTTCCCCAGAAATGTACTGTTTTGCACTGCCCAGCCATCTCCTGGATAGTTCAAATACATTAAGGCTGTTATTCCTTTAAGGGAATAATAAACACTAGCTTGTTATTCTAAACAGAGTTATCCAGACACCTTCATTTAAGCAAACTGAATTAGAGAATAAACGTGTTTTGTTGTTTTAACTACAAAAACAGATTAAGTGAGTACAAGTAATGAGACACAAAAGTCAGAAATGGTTACAAGAAAAATAAAGACAAGACATTTCCTGATACCTA